GATTATTCGAATTAGTTTGTGCAGCCTCGGAGCGCGGCGTCGAACGTGACATGTATGACGAGACGATAAATAAAAGAAATAAAATTTATTCCGTTCCGAGCGTGTGTAAAAACCGTTACCATTTCCTGCCTGGCAACACTGTTTGCTTATTTATTTATTTATTTTTGTACACTTTCTGTTTGCTAACCTTTCACGGACAGGGCGACAGAAGCTCAAAGCTAAACTCATTAAACGCCGATTTCTCATTTCTTTGAAATTATTCCACGTTTCGTCCCTCGCGTCCCGGAGGCAGCGAGTGCAAAATATTGCTGGCCCGCTAATTTCTTCCCGATTTCCACGTTGCGTGCCCTGCAAGTGACTCCTCGCCGAGTGCTGCGGACGGGAAGTGGAGGTGGGAGTGGAAGAAGTGGAAGTCGCCCGGAGTCCTGGAGGCCCACAGCACCTCATGCGGCTTGTGTTGTGATTTACGCTCGGGCCCGCAGGCTGATTTCGAACAGGGATCGCTCCGTCTCTCTCGCACTCACGGGACGTTCCGCTTTGGGAAGGGGGTGCGAGAGAGGGTGTGCGCGGCACACTCGGAATCCATTATCCCGGCCTAGTCTGCGTTTATGCAAGTCCGAGCGGATCCGGCAACGAGGCGTGGCCGTTGCAATCACTGCGACCCACGGTGTACCAGACCAGACGGGCCGGACAGACCAGACCGCAGCCGAGGCGCAGGGTCCCCCGTTTCGGACGCGCGGTGGGGTTCGCACACCACTTGAAGTGGCCGAGGCACGCCGAGGCCCTCCAGGAAGACGCGCTGGCCGGTCTGCGGCTGGGCCCCACTGCTGCTTGCAGGGCTGATCGGCATCGACACATGGAGTGGAACGTAAGCTGACTAGTGGTGCTAGTGGGGAGGAGAGCGGACTGGACCGATATCGCACCCGACTCGGCCACGCTGGGCCACGCAGGCACGCTTGCAGGCGCGCTGCCCGCGCCGCGTGAGCCGAAAGCCGCAACTGCTGCAAGCACGCGAGGCTTCATGGCTTCGTGGCCAGTATCCGATTTCGCCGGCGCGCGGTTCACTTCAAATAACCAGCACCCCCTCGCGAGGCTCCCGCCTTCTTTTTCGCGTTTGTTTTGTTTCGTAAATTGGGGTATCGGACTGTTTCACTCGGCCGGGGCCGCCACACTGTAATTCGAAGACGTGCAACCGCGGCGATTTATTAGTCCGATAAAGCGATATTTGTGGATGGGCGCATAATTAGTTTGCTCTCAACGAACTACGGCAGTGGCGGCCCCGCCCCGCCCCGCCCCGCCCCGCCCCGCCCGCCCCGCCCCGCCCCGCCCCGCCCCGCCCAGCCCCGCCCCGCCCCGCCGCCTCTCCAGAGGGATCGCATAAAATAGGTCGGCGCAGCGCAAGCGCATTTCTCCTCATTTTTTTCTGCATCATTTCATCGTTATATTACTCTCCATTTCCTCGGCGGGTTCCTCAATGAATCATGCCGCGCCCCGCAGCAAACTGTTGCGTCCCGGGCAGCGAGTGGACTCTCACTGATTCCGCCCTTCGCTGTCTCCCTCGCACGCTCGGGACCTTCCCTATAGGTGCGAGAGAGAAGGCAGCTTCGCCTAAATCGCCCCATACATAGTCCCACTTTGAAGGGCCTAACCTTTCCGTTTCCAAAGTCGCGCCGCCGCCGAAGGTTCGGCCGATCGAGGGGAAAACCAACTCAAGGTTTTTCGGGCGCTGGCGCGGCCCTCGCCTGCTTCCTGCCCCGCCCCTTCCCCCTTCCCCCCTCCGCGTATTGTTCGAGTGTCGGCGTGTAGGGGGTGCCTGAATCGCCTTTCCTGCCGATAGCGCAGCTACACGCGCAGACACGCTGCCGATAGTCATTGTGGGTGACGCGTGGGGCTGGGCGTGGCGGCATGGCGGCCAGGAGTGGCTTCTCGTCCCAACAGCTCAGAAACCCACAGTGGGCCAGAAGACCAGTGGTGGCGGCAAAAACTCGAGACCCGTTTTGAGCTCCAGAGTCACTAAATGGGACTCGAACCGATCGTGTGACCCCACCAATGGATTCCTCGTTCGGAGACCTCAAAACCCGGTCTCCTGGCCCACTGTGACACGCGAACGCACAGACGCACGCAGAAAAACAAAGACCAGGCGCGCAGTCACGGCCTCGGAGAAACCGACACAGTCGCAAGGCACATGCACGCGCACTGTGACCACGTGGAGTGGCAAACACTGCTCTGGAAATGTACAACTACTACGTGCAGCTATCGTGTTAGAGGAGAGAGAGCTGGAGAGTGAAAGAGGGAGGACAGACAGATGGAGAAAGGGAGGGGGATGGGAAAGCAAAGTTGTTGCTCGAATTAATTTCCGCCGCATGTCCTCATTAATGGAGTAGGGACTGACTGTAAGCGCCTTACTGGCGTCGTCCTGGCGTTGACCTGGCGTCGTCCTGGTGACGTCCTGCTGTCGCCCTGGCGTCGTCCTGGTGACGTCCTGGTGACGTCCTGGCGTCGTCCTGGTGACGTCCTGGCGTCGTCCTGGCGTCATCCTAACGTCGTTCTGGCGTCATCCAGGGCAGCGGCTGTCGTTTTTGAAACGCAGTGCCTCCCTAAGACGAATGAAACCATGGCACGGCAGCATCCAGCCGCGAAGGCCTCGAAAGACGAGTAGGCGCACAGAATCTTTTGAAAGGCCCACTGAAGAAAGAACCGGCGTCTATGGGCTGCCGTGTCGAGGCGGCTGCGGCCTGGGTGCAGCTTGACTGCCTGGCGCAGCCACTCGAAAACTCGCTGGCGAAAAGCTTTACCTCTCCGAGTTTGTTGGGCCGACCTCTCAACACCGAGGGGAACGGGCACCGCGACGCACCGGTAAACGCCGTCCCCGCTCACCTGCAGGCTGGTTGCGAGGAAGGTGTCTCGGCGGGCAGTCTCTCTCAGCCCCGCAGAGAGAGAGAGAGAGACAAGCTTACCGGCTGTCGGAACGCCTGCGAGGTATGCAATCCGGACGCCTGGCCGCACTGCAGTGGCGCGGCTGGCCTACCCTCGACTCTGCAGGCGCTCTGGGTGCAGCTCACTGCGTGGCGCTTGGCGCTTGGCACTCGACCGGGTGTTGTTGCCGGACTTGGAAATTGGTTGTTCACCTCGAGAGGGAATAGGGCTGCGCTGCGAGGTGTGAGTGCGAACCGAGAGGCCTGCTTGAAAAAGAGTTGTGCGGAAACCGAGCGCTGGCGAGGTTCCCAGGATTGTGGATTGACGCGGCCACTGCGTCCATACCACTGCGAAATGGTACTGCGAGACAGTCATTTTTGATGCTAACTTTTGCCTGCCTTTGGTGAGGAGTGTGATTTCCCGCCTTGGCACACCACGTGCATATCATTATTTTAGAAGAGCAGAAATCGTACACGACTATTCCATCCCGGCGTGTGAATTCTCCGTTGGTCGGGATGCTGCGTGTTTCGCGGGTACCTTTCGGTCACGAGCAAAACTCGCTCGGGTGCCTCGTTCCCCCCCCCCCCCACCAGTTCCGGTAAAATGTGCCGTTCAGAGGCAGAATAAAGTGCAGTGCGGTGGTGGAAGGGGTGGGAAAAGGGGGTGGGGGTGCTCAGTGCATGCTGCCGGTATATTGTGGTGAATATTGGATGCCGCCCGTATGTATGTAGCCGCCGCCCCGCCGCGTCGCCGCGTCGCCGAGCAGGAGGCAAACTTGTCCGGAGACGACTATCCCCTCCTCCTCCTCCCCCCCCCCCCCCCCCCCCGCCCCCGCGCTGCGGTCCTTCGGTCTTTGGGGCCGGTCAGACCACCGCGGCGCCGCGGCCGCGAACCAACTTTCGGGTCACCTGCTTCCGGAGTCGGGCGTCCCTGCACGCGGTTGAATGGAAGAGTCCGGTGGGGCTGCAGCGGGCTTTACTTCGCCTTCCCCACGGTTCGCGCCGACACCGCGGCAGCCCGGTGGCCCGAACGTCGCCGCCGGATCTACGCATTCTACCGTGATTGCGCCCACTGCTGCTTCTATTGTTTTGCTGGGCGAAGCGAAGCACTCTCTTAAGGTGCCTTATCGATCAAAGTCCCCCCCCCCTCCACCACACCTTTAGAAATGCCGAAGTGACTTCTCATCACTGCTCTGCTAAAAACGACTCGTAGTTTCCGACTCCCTCTGCATGGTTTTTGCAACGTGGTGGTGCTGTGTGTGGGAGTGCGTGTGCGTGTGGGTGTGCGTGTGGGTGTGCGTGTGGGAGTGCGCACGTTCACGGAACAATAACGGAGCGCACCATTGTGGCTGCCGGGTCAGCATCAACGACCACGTCAAAGAGCAGGCCTCCGATTCCCATTTTCCTGTCACACTGTACAAACAGGTGTCTCACTGGGCGCTGCAATAATTAGAATTTAGAATCGAAAAAGTAGTAAACCGGTAGACTCAGCACGAGACATCATCAGCCATGCTGTCTTTGTGAAATTGAGCACCGCATCCCGAGGGCTGGAAGGCAACGGAAACGGTCCACGGCGAGAGGCGCCAAGGCTCACATGTCTTTGTGTGTGCAGGCTGTGCAGGCCGCGCAGGCGCGCAGGGATGGGCTGCCGCGGCGGACCGGCATGAAGACGCCATGGCGCCCCTCGGAGCCCCCATCGGCGCCACCGGCGTCGCGACGCCCCAGCTGCCCCGCGGGTGGGGGTCGACCACGTCCGGATGGGGGTCGCCGACGACGCCACCCATGGCCACCTCGTCGCGGTGGAGGCCCGCTTGGAGCCGCGCCGCCGTCGCCGCCACCAGGACGCCCGCTCCGAGCACCGTGGTCGCGGACATCTAGTGAGTAACGGCTTGGGGCGACTGCCGCTGCCTCCTGCCTCTACTTGACGTTACCTCTCTGCCCGCAGCACCGCCTCCGTGGGCCCGCGCTACGTCGTCACCAATGCCGCGGCCGCGACCTCCACCGCCGCGGCGGCCGTCGCGTCCCTCAGCGAAACGGCGTCCACCGCGGCCTCCGCCAACCTGGCCGCCACCCTGGCCGCCAGCAACGGCACCGGGGACTGGCCCGCCAACGCCACCCTGGGCGACCTCTTGTACGCCAACACCACGGACGGCTGGGCCGCCAACTACTCGGACGCGTACGCCTTCTCGCTGTTCCCCGACCAGGGCGGCGTCAACCTGGCCGTCGACGGCGCGTCGTGGGGCAACGAGACGGCGGGGAACATGACGACGGTGGCACGGACACCCACCGGCTTCCTGAGCCACAGCCAGTACTGGGCCCTGGTGCTAGTGCTGGTGCCCATCCTCACGCTCTTCGGCAACGTCATGGTCATCCTGGCGGTGTGCAGGGAGCGCGCGCTGCAGGGCGCCACCAACTACTTCATCGTGAGCCTCGCCCTGGCCGACCTCCTCGTCGCCGTGCTCGTCATGCCGTTCGCCGTCTACGTCCTGGTCGGTTATCACTGTAGTTGCTTAAGCCGTCATCTCCCTGGCCGCCAAGCGGTCCACCCATCCGCTTGAAACCCTCAAGTAAATGTGTATTTGTTCCGAGTAAATGATCTCGAATCAAGAAAGAACCCTTTTTGGGTGGCTCCGTCCTCCGGCCTGCGCCCCGCCACCGCCACGCGCGGCCCACGCTGCCAAGGATTCCTCCCCGGGGGCCAGAACGGCCACGGTCGGCCACGGTCGGCCAGGGCTGCCCGCGCCTCGCCTTCCGCGGCCAAGCTGAGCTTGTTTACACCGGAGGGTGCGCAGAGCGGTGCGGAGCGCGGAGCGGCGTGGTTGGTCAAGGAACCACGTTTTTGCCGCCTTATTTTCTTTCTCTTTTCGAGGGATGCCTCGCCCAGCCTTGGCCTCTGCGCCTCGATCGCCGCCAGCTGCGGCGGGCTGCGCTGCAGACTGATTCCGCCAGTCGTTTGCGTCGCTCCGTCTCTGTCGCGGAGATACGGAACGCCGCGCGAGCGCGAGAGAGAGAGACAAAGCGGCCAAAACTCTCGGAATGGGGCTGCCGCGCCACGGACGCAGAACGGGGTCGGCGGCGCATAGTGGCTCGGGCGACTTTGTTATGTATAGCGGAAGCGACGAGCAGAAATAATAACGGCGGGCGGAAACAGTGGAGCCGAGAGGCAGTCAAGCGCGTTCATTTCCACATCCGGTGAGCGCGGCCGCCCTGCCCGGCCGCGCGGTAAGGAAGAAGGTTGGCGGGAAAGCAAACAGCGGTCCAAGCCTGCGAGCAGTGTGCGCCAACCTAACAAAAAGACACAAAGTTGGTTTAGGTTTCATTCCTCGCGAAAACGGCGAGGGTCGCTGTACGGACAATGGCGTCTTTCAATTTTCAAATTTGGTTAAGTCAAATAGCTTTTTGTTGATCCAATGCACGTGTTCGAGCTGGGGATCCGGGACACCGGACGAGGCTTTTTGCACCGGTTCGAATCTGCTAGGCCAAAAGACGGGCGCTTTCTGATTCCGAAACTAGCGGAGAGCTGCCGGGATGGAGACGGACACCTGCGATTCGAGTTTTTGTGAGGTTGGCATGGCTTGCTGCCTGCAGGGCCCCTTCCTCGATGGCCTCGGGGGTCTCGGGGGGAAAAGTTGGGCGTGGGAGAGAGAGAGAGGAGGACTCGACACCTCCTAGGAACAAGCGGCTATCTTCCGAGAGCTTCCAGACACTCGGCTATCTCGCAGTAGCTTTCAGACACTCGGCTATCTTCCAATAGCGTCCAGACACTCGGCTATCTTTCTGAGCGCTTCGGAGACTCGGCTAACTGCTTTTCCCACTTCCCGAGTTTGGGTGCGTATATATTTTAAACCAGTTGAAATGCCCTCACCGGGACCTAACCAAAATGTGTCAAAAGTTTGTCAGAGTAGATTAAAATCATGGCGTGAGCATGTCTTGATAAGTGTAACAAAGAAAAACGCTATCGAAAGGACAACCCTACCCTCTCCGCAGAAGTCAGTTAGCCGAGTCTCCGAAGCGCTCAGGAAGATAGCCGAGTGTCTGGACGCTATTGAAAGATAGCCGAGTGTCTGGAAGCTACTGAGAGATAGCCGAGTGTCTGGAAGCTCCTGGAAGATAGCCGCTTGTTCCTAGGAGGTGTCGGACTGGAACCGGGTCCGTTGGCAGGCCTGGCAGGCACTCGGGGAGACAAATGCCTTATCCGGGAGTGTCGGTCCGCATGGTTGCCTCCCCTGCTGCCGCACTGTTGGAAAAAATCACAGTAAATCCCGTAGTGATAAGTACAGCTGTCACTGTAGTTCAGAGTACAGGATTTACTGTACCTTTTTTACAGAATCCACTGTACTTTGTACGGGATTTTCTGTACCACGGGAGTGGAGTACGGAATATCCTGTACAAGGTACAGTAAATACTGTAGCCAGGCACAGTAAATCCTGTTTTCTGAACTACAGTAAATCCCGGCAAAAAAATTAACGGGATTCACTGTGGTTTTTTCGCACAGTGCGCTGCTGCCGCTGCTGCCGTGCTCCTGTGTGACTAATGAGAGCTTTGGCGTCCCCGGCCGGCGGCGGCATCACTCTGCATCTCACGCGGTTCGACTTGCAGGCGATTTGATTAGCTGGTTTGTGCCAACCAAGGTCACAGTGTCTGGTCTGGCTGGGTGGAGTGGGGTGGGGTGGGCTCTTCGGGCTCCACGAGCCCGGGACAGCAATAGGCCGGGCAGCGACGGCTGTGGGTTTATGGGTGCATTCAGCAGAGGTCAGGCGAAGGTTATTTCAAGCATTGAGTCAAAACCATGCATTTGTGTTTTAAAGAATTTATTTCTTTTTTCGGCAACAACGAGAAAGGACACCATACTCCAGACGCTGTCTTCCCGGCTCAAGCGAAGGCCCCTCGCTTCCCTACCGATCGGACATAGCAGTGAATTATCCCTCCGGGCGAACTGGGGCAGTGCACCTCCTGCCGGGCGATTCGATGCCGCGCCGGTGCGCTCGTGATAGGAGGGTCAGCACCTCAAACCTGACTGAGCAAAACAGACAGGGCCGGTGGGATCGGAGGGTACGTCGCCAGCTTGCGACTTAAGTTGGAGGCACTGGAGTAGATACCGCCCCACCCCACCCAAACCCCCCACTGTTAAATTGAATTATTCCGTCGAATCGCACTCGTCAGCCGGATCTCTCACACACGCTCCAATCACACACCGGTGTTAAGTGCCCCGCTTTGTCCTGCTTCCTGCCCGTTCGGGCCTTGGTTCGGGCGGCCCGCGCTGTCGTGCGGTCCTTCCGCTCGACTGTCGAGTGGCAGCGAGGAAATGAACCGAGCCACACGTGGGGTGTGGCGGGGTGGGGCGAGGTGGGGTGGGGCGGGGTGTCCCCAGCACCGCGAAGGTGGCTGCTGTGGAAACAAGTGCTCTCCCTTTCTTCTCGACCGCACTGCAAAAGCCCCTGGCGGCGCGCGCGGACCGGCGGCGTACGGCCACGGCGTTATAGGGTTCATTTGTTTAGCTCGAAAACCTATTAAGTCTCCTCAGGCACCGACCCGGTCCAGGACCCCGTTCCAGGGGCCCGTTCCAGGGGCCTGGTCTAGGACTAGGCCCAAGGGCCGCAGAGGGCGGGGCTTGTGGGGGATTAGCTTAAGGCTACCTGCGCTAACGAAGGGCCAAGGGTGGGGCCGGGCTCGACTGTAGGCAACCGCACGTAGCCAGTGTGGCTTTCCTGACCATTGCTGTGCAGTGCCGCAGACGACCCCGCAGGCATGCCGCAGGCCGGACCATAATAGACCACGTGACGAAATTTCCGGTCGGGCGGGACGCCTGCTCAGGTACACACCAAACTCATGACGACCCAACAAAACTATCAGGTCCAAAAGCTGCAACCAGCAGGTTGGGTTTCTCAGATAAATTGAATGGTTCATGAAACTTTGTGCAAAATAAATAGAAAAGAAAGCAAGCACGGCAATCGTCCTTAATTTGGTCGTGAGGTTCACAAAGCCAGCTTGATGGTGGCACTGCCCCACACTGCTAGCCAGGGCCAGCGCGGCCAGCGTAGGACCGTGCTGTCGCGGACGGCCTTTCAATTTACAGCTCGTCTGTCGTACGCCATTTGAAATGCCCGGCCCGGCTCGGCTCGGCTCGGCTCGGCTCGGCTCGGCTCGGCTCGGCTCAGCTCGGCACGGACCTGTGGGTCCACCCTCATCCGGGACGCAATCCCTGGAGCGGGCCGGCGGGCCGTCGGGGCGAAACTGTCTGATGGACTCGGGGATCTTGAGCCGGGCCCGGCCGGCAGCCCGGCTGCATCTCGTTAGCCCGCAAGGGCCCGGCCCGGAATTAAAATGAGTCTCGCAGTGTATAACCCCTTCCCGAAGCCGAAGCGGCGCGAAGCAGCGCGAAGCAGCGCGAAGCGGGCTGGCTAACACGGCCTTGTTTTTTGACGGCTGGCCGCCTGGAGGGCCAGGCCCGGCCTGGAGCTGGAGGGGCTCGTAATAAAATGGAGGGACGCGGGGGGGCCGTCGTCGTCCGAGTCGCGTCGCGCCGCGCGTTCCGGCCGTCGTTTTGTTTCTGCGCCGGGCCGTGCCACCGTGCCACCGTGCGTCTGGGGGGAGTGTCCCCGCGGAGCGAGGAACGCGGCGCGCAGCGCGCACCAAGTACTGAGGCAGCGAGGCAGTGAGGTATGCCAACGCGCCAACCGGTTAATGAGTCGTCTTTTGTGATGCTGCCCCGCCCCGCGACCCACCGCCCCACCGGCAGCGCCGCTGCGCCAGTACAGCCTGTACTCGTTGTACAGCGAGCGGTGCCCCGCGGTGCGGCCGTGCGGCGCGGTGGCGACTGCCGGTATGAAAAATGCAGCGGGACTCGCGTATAAACCGCGGGTTACGAGCGAGCCCCTAAACAGCCATGACGGACGGCACGGGTCCGAATGCGGGCCGGGGGTCACTTTGCCATTAAATGCGGGCCCTCCACCTGCGGGCGTGCTGCCACACTGCCTTCGTTACAGCCGTTTTTTGTTGTTTTCGGAAAAGAAAATAAGGCCGAGTGGGGTTGGCTGCCGGTGATAGTGGTGTAGGCACTGTTAAAAAAAATGACTGAAAATTCATAATTTTTTGTAAGAAGTCGATTTACTTACATTCAGTCTGAATTTTCATACCAAAACTTTCATACTTCGCGGTCTGAAAGTTTCAGACGACGTTAGTCTGAATTTTCAGATCAACATGTTGTATGAAAAATGATACCAGTCGGTCTATTTCATCAGACTAAGTTGTACGAAGACATTGAACAGTCGCACTAAAAAATGCCACTCTGTAGAGTAGAACACAAATCAGCGAACTTTTGCCATCGGTTTATCGTAGACGCTCAGCGGATCGTCTCGGCTCCACAATTAGGTACACGGCAGTAGACTCCTACCTGCAAAGGTAGTGAAGAGGCTAGACGTGACTGCTGAATTGCGAGGGAGAGCGGCCTTAGCCCAACCACGCGCCGACCCGTGGCCATGCGCGAGAG